CTCTCTCTCTCTCTGAGTAAACGTTTTATAGTGTGGTTTTATAGTGGCTTTTACCCAGCTAACAGAAAACATTCTCAAAACGTTCTGGCAAGGTTCTCTTAAAGTTATGAACAAAACATTCTTCCTGAAACGTTAGCACAAAAACATTATTTATGAAATGTTTGAGTTGGATGTTTGTCTTGTTTTGGAATGTTTAGAGGACATTCAAAACGTTTCTACAATGTTTGCAAACGTATACAATGGAATATTTAATAATTTCTTATCTTACTGTTATATAGCCTGCCTTCCATAACCAACTAAAACATATTTTTAAAACATTCAATTATCAGAGCGAAATATCGTTTTCATAACTTAATGGGAACAGAAGCAAAACGTTCTTATAGGCTACATATTTTTGTTAGCTGGTAAATCGTTACAAAAAATATGGTGTAAGAAATCGTAGATAATAGTATGCATAAAAATGATAAGACGCCGACATGGATTGGCCTTTTGACGCAAAACCTTATAGGCCTCGTTCGATTTTTTTTGACTGGTCACCCCCTTGACCAGAACACCCATCAAGTGCTTCCGCACAGCGTTCGAGGCTTCAGCGGGTGATAGCGCCATTAAAGAGCGATCAGAATATAGCAATTAAGCTGACATTACACTCGCCCAGCGCTGTCCATAGGTGTCCACCGTTTATCCGGGAACCACCTCCTCTTAATTGCCTCCTAATTCGGCGTGTCAGATCCGTGTTTCCCCGCTGTCCCGCCCGGTGGTCTCGTGTGTGTCTTTCCGTTCTCAACTCCGAGGCGTTACTCAAGTCAATGACACAAGGCAAATTGCGTTTAATAAATGAGCTTAATGGATCACGCGATTGGATTGTGAGCGCAATGCTTCCTCTGGTTAGGCAAAACATTTATATCCAGTTCTAAGTGTTTCCCGCGCGTTTTAAACCCGCGCAGACGGACTGCGTGTCTCACCTACGATTTAAACTCATTATAAAACAGGTGAGACAAATTCAAGAGCATGAAAAGTGATCTAGGGTAATCAGGGGCACGACAGTGTCAGTTTAAGCTTGCTTCAGTCGAACCAACTCCGTTTAATCACACATGACAGTAAAGTACTGAGATATGCAATACATAGCAAAGTTATGATGACACTTGTCAAATACGGCATATGGCAGTCATCGTCAAACGTCCTGACGCGGCCACGTGGATATTCTCTAATCTTGCACGCTCACCTGATCGGAAACGCAAGTAAAATGTCAAAGAGATGATGACACGTTCTCTCTCCCGCTCTCTCTCTCTCTTTTATGGCCTCGGCATGTTTGGTTTCGCAAAACAATCTCATCGGACATTATTGATGTTACAGATGTTGTGGTAATCAAATTATCGGTCTGTGAAGGGCCCCCCTCAGTCACCGGCGCGCTCCGTGATGAATTGCGGTAAAGGTCATCACGCGGCTCCGTTTTATTGGAAGTTTATATGGTAACGCTTGGATGAGCGGCTGTAGAGACGCTTGCAATTCTCTCTCTGAGAGAGAGAGAGAGAGAGAGAGAGAGAGAGAGAGAGCGTATGTATGGGTGGTTATATGAGGAGTTTGGGAATATTATATGCTTGCAAACTGTGTTCAAATGAAGCAAAGGTAATAATAACCCACAAAGTTCATTATGCTGCCACATTAGCTATAACTTTATAAAAGGAAAAACTATTTATGCAACCACAGAAATATATCTATCTGTCTGTACATCTGTCATTCTATCTATCTATCTATCTATCTATCTATCTATCTATCTATCAAATAACTTATTCAGTCCCCCAACACATGCACGCACCAATTTTTAAATTAAATGCAGGTACAATGAAAAAAGTAGCGATACTAAATAATTTCTCTATGGTAGCATCCTTAAGACACTAAGTGGGCTATTGCATTTCGGTCCACAACAATGCAGCGAAAATAATGCATTGTAAAAAAGTAATGTCATGAAAGACTATGCAAATGTACTTCAGTTTATAGGCTACAGAAACAATGTTTTCTCCATTACATCTAACAAGAATGCTACTTGACAAATCAGCATGTTCAAAACAAGTAGATCTAAGTGCTACATAAACAATTTGGCTAGCTATTTTCATTCTTGCAATCAATTTAAATGCCTCAATTTTTAGCTACAATAGGCATATTGTCCTGTGGACAGATCCTATATTCAAATACTCATTATATTATACACCTAATGGAATGTTACCAAATAATTCATCTTTTGAATCCTAAACAAAATGTCTCTCAGTAGGACACCTATAATCCCTAAAGGGGTACCAACACCTTTATTGGATTATCACGGATTACACCACATTAGGGTCCCACGTGGCCCCACACCAAAGGCTCGGCACCTCATCCATTGTGCGGCACCAGTCTCTCGCGCTGACACTCGGCATTATTTGTTGTCACTCCACGCACATTAATCCCGCCACAATTAGGTGTCAGCTCGCGCCGTTCTCTGTTTGATGATAGCCTTGGGCGGCTGCAGCGCTCGAGCCCTAATCAGCAGAGTAAACTCGCGCTATATTTCAATTTGGGGAGGCGCTCTTCCGCATAGAGGGCCCCAGCA